GCGATTGTACGCAACAAGTTTTTGGCGCCGCTGCCGGGGACTTTAGAATTAGAAAGTATTTGATTTGTCTAATTTCGGAAGTTAGAAAGCAAGTGTTGACAACTTGATCTTAGCTATTCATTTTGCAGGTTGTGTTGAATTCTCAAACTGGAAGAGGATCAGGACTTGGTAGAGCCTCTAGCTGAACCGAAAAGATTTGTTCATTACTAAAGAAGGCAAAGATGACTCATTTACCCAGTCCCTCTTGTTGCTAGTGAACCAGTAACTCTTGTAGCAAGAGTTGAACGAGAAGAACTTGTAGTGATGGCTGGGATGAAAGTGAGAGACATGTCAATCCCATGTACCACCAATGTTACTTCATGTATTCAGAAACCTGAAACTGGTGGAAGATTTGAACTGAAGCAGAGCATGGTGCAACTAATTGCACACAAATGGACAGTTCACTGGTTTATCGTACGAGGATCCACAAGTTCATATCCAGAATTTCCTTGAAATCAGTGATACTTACACTCCAACTGGAGTGAATGAAGATTACGCGAGACTCACCTTATTTCCCTTTTCTCTACTAGGGGAAGCAAAAAAATGGTTGAATTCTTAGCCTGCGAACTCCATAACATCGTGTGACGATCTTGCACGGAAGTTTCTGATAAGGTTCTTCCCATTTGGGAAAACAACTAAGTTAAGGAGTGAGATATTGAGCTTCCGACAAAAAGGATGAGAGAACTTGTACCAAACTTGGGACAGGTTTAAATCGATGTTGTTGAGTTGTCCGCACCATCATCAGGCTAACGAGGTGTTGGTCCACACCTTCATTGAAGGGTTGGAGCCCAACACAAAATTTTTACTTGATTCAACTGCAGGTGGACAGGCTTTGGAGAAGACTTATGCTGAGTTGTACACCCTGCTAAATAGGATTTCATAAGGTAACCCCGAGTGGAATGGAGGAGGATCTAAACCGGTAGTACAAAAGACTGCTGGAATATTGGAGGTAGATGCAGTAACAGTGTGTTAACTGCACAAATTGTTGTGATGCAGGATATGATGAATATGTACTTCAACAACCTATCGCTAGGACAACAACCAACTCAGAAATGCGGTACAACAACCACCTACATGGTGTGAGATTTGTGAATGTGGATACCACAATGCAGAGGTATGTGGGGCAAACCCAGTTTCTGTCAATTTTGTAGGTAATGCACAGCGGGGAGGAGGTCATCAGAACTATGGTAACTCCTATAATCCTAGTTGGCGAAATCATCCAAACTTTTCGTGGGGAGGAAAACAAAACTAGATGCAAGGTCAGAACCAATATAGACCCAAGGGAATGCACATGATTATCAACAACAGGGCCAACGAGAGCAGCCCAGTAATCAACAAAGTAGCATGAGCACAGAGGAGATGCTGAAGAAGATCATGGCTGATCAAGCTCAACTAGTTGCTGATGTGATAAATAATCAGTTAGCAACCCAAAACCTGGAGAAACAATTTGGGAAATTTCCTAGTGCTCTAAACTCACGACCTCAAGGAGGTTTGCCGGGTAATACTGATCCAAATCCCAGGAAGGAAAATGCAGTAGGGACGCGTAGTGGGTTGCAGTTGGAGGAGTTGGTCTCTGAAGAAGCGAAATGTTGAATCTGCAAGTAAAGAGGGTGAACCTAAGGAGAGTGAAACTATTGCACAAGAAACCAGAGTGCAACTGATTATAAAACCACCTCCACCATTTCCTCAGAAGTTTAAAAATAGAATGAGGATGAATGTTTTGGTAAGTTTCTCTCTCTATTAAAGAAAGTTCACATTAATTTGCCTTTGGTAGATGTTTTGCTGGGCATACCTAGGTATGCAAAGTATGTGAAGGAGATCGTGGCAAATAAGAGGAGGTTGACCGAATATGAAACAGTGGCACTTACTGAAGAATGCATCTCCACAATCCAAAATAAGTTTCCTACCAAACTAAAAATTCGGGTAGCTTTACGGTTCAGATTACCATAGGGCAGAGCATCCATGCAAGAGGGTTGTGTGACCTCGGGGCGAGTATAAACCTGATACCAACATCACTGTATAAAAAATTGGGGTTGGTTAGTCCTAAAACCACCACCATTATCTTGCAGTTGGCATATCAGTCAGTTGCTAGGCCAGAGGGTGTTGTGGCGGATGTCTTGGTCCAGGTGGGATCCTTGATATTCCCGGTAGATTTTGTGGTGTTGAATTTTGAGCCAGATCCTGAGGTTCCTTTCATCCTTAGAAGACCTTTCTTGGTCACGGGGTGAGCTGTGATATATGTAGCAGCTGGTCAATTACTATGCGGGAGCATGATAAAGTGCAAGTGTTTGATGTCTACAAGGTGTTGAAACTGTCTGCCGTGTATGAAGAGTTGCCTGCTATAACAGTGGTAGATCTTGAAGCAGAAGTTCATTACACGACATCCAAGGACCTATTGGAGCGTGTGCTAGTGCGACATGATATTTATGGGGATGCAGAAACACAAGAGATGGTACAGTATATAAATGTGTCAATTGTGGGCATATCGAGAGATCACTGGGAGCCGTTAAATAGGGTGTTGGGTCCTCCACCTAAACCTTCCATTGAAGAAGCACCCAAGCTAGAGCTAAAAACATTGCCAGCTCATCTAAAGTATGCATTTTTGGGTGAAAATAAGACCTTACTTGTGATTTTGTCTGCAGATTTGTCTGAAACAAATGTTGAAGCAACATTGAGTATACTGAGGAAGAGGAAAGAAACTTTAGGCTGGCAGATGTCCGACATTCACGGGATAAGTCCAACGTTGTGTATGCACAAGATTTACATGGAGGAAGGTCACAAGCCGAGTGCACAACACCAACGTAGGCTCAATCCAATCATGAAGGACGTGGTAAGGAAAGAGGTGATAAAGTGTTTAGATGTGGGGATAATGTACCTCATATCTGACAGGAAATGGGTGAGTCCGGTACAATGTGTGCCCAAGAAAGCGGCATGACAGTGGTGACAAATAAGAAGAATGAATTGATCCCTACAAGGACAGTAACTGGGTGGCGTATTTGCATGGACTAGAGAAAGTTGAATGATGCCACCAGGAAGGACCATTATCCTGTGCCAGGACCATTATCATGTGCCATTTATTGATCAAATGTTGGACAGATTGATAGGACAAGAATATTACAGCTTCTTGGATGGCTAATCAGGCTATAATCAGATAGTCATTACACAAGAGGATCAGGAGAAGACTACCTTCACTTGTCTGTATGACACATATGCGTTCAAACGTATGCCATTCGTATTGTGCAATGCACCGGCTACATTCCAGAGATTCATGATGACAATCTTCCACGATATGGTGGAGGATTTTTTTGAGGTGTTCATGGACGACTTCTCGTTGTTTGGTGAGTCTTTTAACCTTTGTTTGCATAATCTTGACAGGGTCTTTGCAAGGTGTGAAGAAATGAATCTGGTGTTGAATTGGGAAAAGTGCCACTTCCTCGTTCGAGAAGGTATTGTACTAGGGCACAAAATTTCAAGAAATAGGCTGGAAGTTGATAAAGCTAAAGTGGAAGCCATTGAGAAGCTGACACTGCCCATCACTGTGAAGGGAGTCCGAAGTTTTCTGGGACATGTTGGGTTTTATAGAAGATTCATCAAGGACTTTTCTAAAACTGCAAGATCCATGTGCAATTTATTACAAAAGGAGGTGAAATTTGAATTTGATGAACACTATCTGCAGGCATTTGAGCTACTAAAGAAGAAGTTGATTAAAGCACCGATTTGATTGCTCAGAATTGGGAGCTACCCTTCGAGCGCATGTGTGATGCCAACGACATAGCTATTGGTGCAGTGCTAGGCTAGCGAAAGGATAAGATGTTTCACTCCATTTATTATGCCAACAAGACTCTTGATGTAGCACAATCGAACTACATTATCATAGAAAAGGAGATATCAGTGCTAATATTTGTTTTTGATAAGTTCAGATCTTACTTGGTGGGTACCAAGGTTGTCGTTTACACTGACCATGCTGCGATCAGGTATTTATTTAACAAGAAGGACGCGAAGCCGAGACTGATTAAATGGATATTACTCTTGCAAGAGTTTGATCTGGAAATTAAAGATAGGAAGGGGACTGAGAACCAAATTACCGATCATTTGTCAAGATTGAAGGACTCATCTCATGTGAGGAATTCCCTGATAAGCAATTGATAGCCTTGGACCTTGCACAAGTACCCTGGTATGTTGATATTGTAAACTTTCTGGTGACTGGTTTATTTCCACCTGGGGCTTCAACACATCAGAAGAAAAAGTTGAAGCATGAGGCGCGGTTTTATATGTGAGATGAGCCTTTCTTATTCAAGCAAGGACCTGATCAGATGGTGCGAAGGTGTATAGCTGAACAAAAGGCATTGCAAATGTTGGAGAGTTGTCACTCTTTACCATATGGTGGGCATCACGGAGGCGAGCGTACGACGCATAAGGTTTTGCAATCTGGTTTCTTTTGGCCTACTTTATTTAAAGATGTTGTGATTTTTGTGAAGGGTTGTGATCAGTGTCAGCTAATGGGCACTATTTCTAGAAGACATGATATGCCATTAAGCAACATCCTCGAAGTTTATATCTTTGATGTATGGGGGATAGACTTCATAGGACCATTCCCATCTTCCAATGGAAACCAGTACATACTAGTGGCAGTGGACTATGTGTCCAAGTGGGTGGAGGTTGTTGCTCTACCTACTAATGATGCAAAGGTGGTAGTAAAGTTCATCAGAAAGCACATCTTCACCAGGTTTGGAACTCCAAGGGCCATGATAAGTGATGGAGGTAAGCACTTTATCAATAGTTCAGTGCAGAATCTGCTGGTCAAATATGGAGTGCGACACAAGGTAGCCACAGCCTATCATCCTCAGACTAGCGGGCAAGTGGAAGTGTCCAATAAGAAAGTAAAGCAAATTCTGTAAAAGACTGTGAATGCACAAAGGAAAGATTAGGCTGAAAAGTTAGATGATGCTTTGTGGGCATACATGACTGAATATAAGACACCGATAGGGACTTCTCCTTATCGAATGGTGTTTGGAAAAGCATGTCACCTTCCAACAGAATTGGAGCATCAAGTGTACTGGGCTATCAAGAAGTTGAATCTTGATCCTGAGTTGGCATGCATGAAAAGAATAACACAACTGCACGAGCTAGAGGAATTCAGCCTAGACGCGTACGAAAATGCCAAACTGTACAAAGAGAAGATCAAGAAGTGGCATGACAAGCATATTGTGTCACGCACTTTTGAGCCTTGACAATTGGTGCTACTATTCAATTCAAGATTGAAGTTGTTCCTTGAAAAACTTTGGTCTAAGTGGAGTGGGCCGTTTGAGGTGGTGAGAATGACCCAACATGGATCTGTGGAGCTAAGACATAAGGATAAGAGCTCCACTTTTCTTGTAAATGGGAAAAGAGTGAAACACTACTTCGGGAATGACATTGATCGTGAGCAAGAATTGCTCAACTTAAATGACGAGTGAGTCATGAGCTGGGTCGTGCTGCGACGTTAAATCAGGCGCTACACGGGAGGCAATCCGTGACCCCTTGTAATAGATAGGATTTGTGGTTTGTCATTTTGTTCTTTCAATTCATAGGAATTAGTTTTAAAAAAGTTTGATATATTCGGAAAATACAAAAAAAAAAAAAGTCGTGCCACAACCAAAACTAAGGCGCTGGATGGAAGGCAACCCATCGGGTTTACATTAATGGGTGTTGTGCTTCAAATGTGTAGGTAACAGGAATTTGTTGCTATAGCAAGTCGCTGAGGGGTTGTTAAATTTTGCCTCGCTAGAAATTCATTTTTCAAGACGAGGCAGAACACTCCATAATGTGCACGCGTCGCGGAGTAGGCTAGACATTTTGGATTCGACGAGAATTATTTTTTTCGTAAAAGATAAAGGATCTCCATAATGGAAGCACGTCGCGGAGCGGGGTCCTAATTTTGATTTTTATGGGAATTAAATTAATTCCGCGAGATAGAGGACTCCATAAAGGAGCTGCGTCGCGGACCAGGTGAGGATTTTTTTATTTTCATTAAAAAGTCGGGTTTAACCTAATTTTTTTTAGAAATTCCAACCCGACCCCCATTTTATTCCTAATTCTACCCCAAATTCCCCATTATTCTCCCAACCGTTTGTTTCACAATTACTCACGATTTTCCCCTCTCCTTCTCTCCTTGTAATTTTTTAACTCCAATTCCGTAACGCGAAAATAATTTCTGCTTTCCAACTTGATTCTCCCCTTTGTCATCATCACAGGTATGTGTTCTCCTCAATTCTTCCATGATTATGAGTTATGTTGTCCTGTTAGTGATGATTATTAGGTGAATGTAGTGGTTTGGGTAGTTATCGGGTTTGCAATAATGTGTGGACGTTGCATTTGTTGGTCATGACAATAGTTTCGAATTCTTGAGTAGAAACACCCAAGTTTTTGATCTTGTGGGCATTGATTAAAGATTATGGTTGTAGGGATATGGTAGGGTAACATATAGGGTTGTTTGATAAGTAATAGTTTCCACTTCATGGAAATTACGGGTATTTGTGTGAAATTTTAAGTAACACTGTGTGATTATGTATGTGTGGGATTGTTTGGATGGTGGTTGTACTTGAGTGCTTTTGTGGGAATTGAATATGAATTCAGATTGTGTTACTGTGTGGATGTGTTGTAGCTTTGGGTTGTGCATGTAACCTTTGGGAAGTCTGAGTACTGAGGTAGGAACAATTCTTTGACTAAGTGTGGGGTGGTTTGTGTGCACCACCCGTATCTTTCATTGTGATCGGTAATCTATTTTAGGCTGGATTGTATTGTGCTTGTAGGTAATCATGTCAAGTACTCAGAGACCCGACAAGGAAGTAGCAACTTCAAGCCAAAGAAAGCGAGTTCGGAGTGGGGGGAATGTACCTCCCGCACCAGCAGTCCCACGGGGGTAAACTCGAAGGTTCGGGTTGCGAGCAGTGGTCAAAGAGGGTAAAGTATGGTGGAAGAAACACACAGAAGCTCGGTACTTTTCTAACGTGTGCATTGAAAGAGATAGTCTTGCACGGGAGTTTCCCCGAATCATGAGGCGCATCCAAGAACTTCATATGGAGTTCATTTCTGCTGAGCCAAACGAGGGCAACTTGCACATGGTCCGAGAGTTCTATGCCAACTGGGCGACAGAGTCCAAATCGCATTTTGTGAAGGTGCGGGGAGTTGATGTAACTCTCACTCCCGCGGTTCTAAATGATATAATATGCACTTCACCTGATGTTGACCCATTGGTGCTAACGAGGCTGAACATTCGACCACCTTATCGAGCCATTCGGCACACACTTTGTGGACCCCAATCGATGGTTTAGTGGACCAAGCACAACGCAAAGAGGTTCCACCAGTCTCTTTCGTATGCACACACATGAGCAGAGAAGCTCGAGTTTGGTTGAAAATAGTCATGAACTTCTTGATACTCGGGCTTCACTACATAGACATCACACGTGATAGAGTGTGCTTGGTTTACGCCTTGATGACTAACACTGAGCTGAATATCGATATTGTGCTGAAATCTACCATGAGGAAGGCCCGGGTGCACAAAGGGCGCATGAATGCTTTTGGAGGTATCATTACTTGATTGTGTCATTCTGCAGGTATAACAGAGAAAAGCTTGGATTATATGGCACCCCTCTTCCAAGCACCGGTGGATATAAAGAAAACAAAGGGGCCTGACAATGAGTTCGGCCCACCACTCATCACTTCAGAGAGCCATCACCGAGATGAGTTGATAATGGCCAATATGTATGGGTTGGAGATGTTGCACCACCAAAATGGATGTCGAGTGTCGACTGAGGAGCAATTGGGGCAGGTAGAAAGAAAGTACCCACTGAATGCGCATGCCAAAGCATTGCTAGGCATCGGTCCGGAGTTTCATGAGCATGTGGATGATGATATACCGACTAACGAGGACAGGTTGCGTACTGGTTCTAATGTGGACTCCGATTCTGACACGGAGGAGGTTGACCATGCACAGGTCGGTGATGAGGCTGAAGGCAGAGATGCCATGGAGGATTGATCAGGGAGTGATTTATCTTACCTCTGTTCTTATTTTGTGATTTTGTGTAGCACTGGGGACAATGCTAATATTTCAAGTGTGGGGTGGGGTGTAATTCTCTTTGTATTGTATATATTAGTTGAACATTGGTACTGTCGTCTGTCTGTCTTTCATTTTTTTATTTAGGTTCCTTGGAGGTTTTTTTGGTTCTTTGGCCAAGGAGAGTCCCTTTGAACTTGATGAGTCCACAAATTGGACTCATTTGGCTTTATTTTGATAAGAATAGTGTCCTCGAATGCTTATTTTATCTAAATATCTGATAAAAACTCTTAAGTTTCAGGTATTTGAAGTTTTAGTGAAAGCATGGACACTTAGGTGCAAAAAGGAACAAAAAGGCTGAAAAGAACGAAGAAGTAAAAGCCTGAGCATTGCCAAGTACGCCGAAGGGATTCACTCCGCCCTTTGTTCCAGTACGCGAAGCTCTGAAGGAGAAGGATAAAAAAGGCGATAAAAAGAGCAGTCGGTGCTTCGCCGAATATTTCTGTGAAGCAGTACTATATCGCCCAATGGTCTAGAACGTGAAGATGTTGAAGGCAATCATGAAACGGCGATGAAACAGAAGAAGGGCGAGTCGCCGAGTCATTCGACGGCATCGACTAACTTCGCCGAAAGATCCACCAACGCTATTTTCTGAAGTCTATAAATACTAAACTTGTTATTAATTTTAGAAGTTCCAAAACCATTATTATAAATTTTTCATAATAGAATAGTACTTTTTTGGATATTTTCTCTCAAGTTTGGAGAGGGTTTTTTGGGAGACTTGAAGAAAGAATGATTTCATCTTCCCCAAGTTGGAAGTGGGTCTTCTCCATTCTTCTTTCTTTGCTTAAATCAAGGTTTAATTTCTTATACCCATTTGATTTCACTATCATTTTATGTGTATTTTGCTATTTCTTGATGTGTGGCTAAAAACCCCATTCTTGGGGTGTGATTTAGCAAATATGTGTTGATATTATTGTTGGGTATTGCTTGCTGATAAGTTAGATGTAGTTTAATGGTGATTTCACCTAGTGGTTATGGTTTAGCCTAAAGGGTTTGTAGTTGCAAATACAAAGCTACCTATGTGTTTTCGGCTTGCCCGAGAGGGAGGTCGTGAAATCAAGACCACTAGACTGATGGCCTAAGGAGTGGGTCGACATAAGGTTTAGCCCGAGAGGGTGAGCCCTAGTCCCATATCCTAACACTCAGCTCGAGAGAGTGATTGGGGTAAGGCGTAGACTGGTCTTCATGCGGCAAGTGGGTGTCCGAGAGGAATGCATTTGAAACGGGGTAAGTTGCCCGAGAGGGAACTTATTTCCATTTAAGGCTTAGCCTAGTCACTATTATCTTACGAATGTCCTTTCAAAAGCATGTACCCAACTACTTATCTCAACTTGTATTGCGGTCACACCCCAAGAATTCTTCCCCATACTTGATTTTCTTGTTAATTTTTGCTGTTTTTACTACTTGTGACAAAAACCCCAATCGATATTTGACACTTTTGTGTCGCCCCCTTTAATGTACTATGTTTTTAATCGTTAATGTCTTTAGCTACGACTAGTTAGAGCTAAAAAAAAAATTCCTATTAATTATCAAAATCACTCCCTTGGGACACGACCCCAACCTTTAGTTGGGTTACTATACTATTGACGATCGTAGATACTCATACCGTAGGTTAGTGTCGTTGGTCAAGATAAGCATCAGAATCGCACAAAACACAAAAAAATGTTGTCTTTTTAGGATCGAGTCAGTCGTCGTAGTTGAGTCACATTGCCCTATGATAGATGGATGACGACCGTCTTAAGGGAAATTTTCGTCATTGAGTCGTAGGTATGGTATGTGTGCTGAAGCTTCAAATTCCGAAAGGAAATTGTACGAAAGCATGTGGGCAATATATATATATATATATATGAATGCATTTGAATTCTTGTACTTGATTTTAATGACTGCAACTTAAGCTTAAAGAGAACTTTTGCATGAACTGATTATGTTGCCTGTGATTGATCCAACTTGATTAGAACTTGTGCCATGATCAGTGAGGCATTGTATTGTCCCTGTAGTGCATCTGAGTCTAGAACTTGCCTGGCGTGTTATTGAAGCGAAATTTGAGTGTTGCTTTGTGTATGAAATGATAATAGGCCTCCTTGAATATGTTCAACAAGGCTTATCCTTTTCAAATACTATCACTTCTAGCCTTGTTGAGACTGTAGCCTTTTATTGGCAGCCACATTTTCACCTGCCATCACTTTATTGAATCCCTAAGTTGTTTGCACCCTGCTTGCCTAAGCACTGTAGCATAAATTGTTGTGGACTTAGTAAAACTGAAAGTGAAGAGGTAGCCTGAAATAGACGCAAGGAAATAGAAAAAAATCCTCAGTAAGAGAATAAAAAAATTGTTTTTTAAAGGTTGGTTCTTCGAAT